AAATAACACAAAAAGAACGACCTAATGACACTGCAGCGGAGGACCCACTGGTCGCTTTTATGGTGGTAGCTCTGGGCTTTTATACTCCCCACTGATCAGGTGGGCAGATCTGAAGAAGGTGGAGACAAGGCCAAACAAGACAAACTAGGACATCATCCGTCACAAGCAGGATACAAAAATAATACAAAACGATACATTACAACTTCACAAACCTGATATGATGTGCAGTAGTATGAGCGGGATGCACTCTAATTGTGCTGTGATAGGTGATATGAGTACGAAGAGCAAAGGGAGGGGGGATGCAAAGTGGGAAAAAGTAAGCCAAAACTTATACCTATATTTTATAACCTTAAATTAACAGACCTATATTATGCTGTTTTCAGATCTATGTTATAATGTTTCTTCATCACAAACATACCTGGACTTGTTTTGTTTCATTCCCACATGTTTAACGCACAAAGTCTGCATATTTAGTCCTTTTCTCAAACAGAAAACACTCTGTTCCACCTTGTGATTTCATGTGGTAACACAGGAAGTGCTCCACAATGTTTTTAAACTCCATACACCTTCACTAATAGAGTAGAATAGTAGAGTAGAGTTCACTAGTATCATTAGGATGATTTCAGCCCTGGAATTGCAAATTTCTACTGAACATATTAACCTGAAAACCATGACATCACAAGGTGCAACAGAGCATTTTGAGCTCTGGAGATGCACATCATCTAATAATGCAGGGTTACTCAAACATGTGTGAATGAAACAAAACACAACTCCACGTATGTTTTTTGATAAAGCAACAATACTCTAACATGTCTTAAACCCCACAAGAGTCAATTTTGCATGATATCGGAACTTTAATCTTTTTTCATTTTCAGCAAATATAGCATTTTCAAAAGCATAAAAGCCAAAACATCCATCTAAATATGTTCCGTCTTCACTCTGAATACCCCATAGAAGTACAAAACTCCCTCTTTAAATATAACACTCCATTCTTATCAGTATTCCTCCCAGCCCTCCTCTCTCCACAGCCTGACTTGGATGCGCAGCTCCGTTGGATTGATATCGATGAGACTCAAATAGCTGATAAGGCAGCGGTCTCCTCACCTTTAGATAATTTCTCGTGTGTCGTGTCAGTGATAGCAGATTATCGAGCGCTTTTACAGTGGATCTGAGTCTCATCACCACTTAACCTCATTGTTCAGGGAGCAGAGGTGAGAGGAATGTCAATTGGCTCAAACAAATCTTCCGCTGTCTCTCGCCATTTCCCTGTGCTGTGTTATGTCTGGAATGAGTTTTGATCTGAAGTTACCCCTGTGAATAAATAAAAACACATACGCAGTGTTTAGTTTTAAAGCTGTATTGTGTAACTTTTGCTAATGGAGGGTCGGTCAAATGCGTTTCTCCATGGAAGTGTTATTACGTCGTCTCAATCTTCACGGGGACCAAACCAGACCAAGTTACAGGTCAGATCTGTGGAGAGGCGACAGAGGCAACCCCAATCGCAGTCAGAATATCGTTTTTTTGAGGTATTTTTGAGCTATAAAAACACTGTAATTGAATAAATGTAAGGTAGAGCTGTTTATTGTCATACTGTCGAACATTCCAGGCAGAGAAATTACATCTCCATAGAAACAAGCAGGTGATGAAGGCTCCACCAGAAAAGTTACACAATGCATCTTTAAAGGGCCCGTATTACGCTGTTTGCTGTGTTTCTCTTTCCTCGTCAGAATCATACCTGGAGTTTTGTTTTGTTTCATGTTTAACACACAAACCCTGCATATCTAGACTGACTTCTTTTCTCAAGTCTCAAGTAAGTCTCAAGTCTTTGGCCTCAAGTCCAAGTCAAGCCCGAAGTCAAATACAGGCTAGTCCAAGTCTCGAGTCTATAGTCACTTGCCCGTGAGTCCAAGTCAAGTCCAAGTCGTCTGCTTTGAGCTTCATTTCAAGTTTAAACCAAAGTACCAAATATAGCTTTGATTTTTGTAATTTATATGAATTTTAAACTAAATTGTATTTAAAAAGTCATTGTATATTTATATAAGAGTTGTAGAAATGCTACTTTTTCCTTTTTAAATGTCTTGACGAGATCTTAGTGTGAATCATTACAGTCAGAATAGAAAGAAAGTTCTATGTAGTTCCCTCTGTTTTACTGTTTTGTGCTGTATATTACTGTAGTACATTTGAGGTATCATCTCACAGTACTTCAGTTACATCCGAAGCAACAAACACAGAAGTGGGAGTGACATGTTCCAGTTTGTTCCTGTAAAATTCAGCACCACACGTACTAACTGTAAAGAGAAAAGTCATTTCTAAGAACATATATATTTTTTAGGACAAGCATCAAGTCACAGGGCTCAAGTCCCAAGTCAATAACCTTCAAATTCAAGTCAAATCCCAAGTCTTAGTCTATTTTATCAAGTCAAGTCTCAAGTCCTAAAAATAGTACAAGTATAGTATAGTATAGTTGCAAGCCCCCACCTCTGTCATGTGGTAATTCAAAAAGTGCTCCACTGTGTTTTTAAGCCCCGTACAGCTTCACTAGAATTTTTTTAATAATTTGCATCTTGCCAGACCTTAAATAAAGAGTTATTGTTTTAGCCTCTTTGAAACTTTGGACATGTGTGAATGAAACAAAACACAACTCCAGGTATGTTTTTGAGGAGGTAACAATTTTAACATAGCCTAAAGCTCACAGGAGTCACTTTTGCTGTTTTAATGTTGGATATTTAAAAGTCATGACCACAACCTGTATGCTGACAAATTAGAATTTCTATTTGTCTCATATAATCCTGCTTCCAACTCGCTGGACTTTAGTTGTATTTTAAAATAGTAGGACTGCTTTCAGGATATTTTGGTTGCATGCGTGCCAGCAATATTTCCAATGTAAATCCACACGTGTTTTGACTTCTCCCAACACAATTCCTGGCACGCGCATACATAAACCAGCATTACTCTTTCCAGTCTCCCACAAACAAACACTACCACATCAAGAAGTCCTTTTCTCCCAGCTCCAACCGCTACACACAGAGCCTCATTGGATCGCACACAGCAGACCAACGGCCATGAAAAATGCATGTCCCTTTTGCGTGTTTCATAAGGATTCTCATCGGCATTCCGTACCCATCTCCGAGCGGCAACAACCACACAGGAATAGCAATTACTCCAGCGATTTGGGAGGAGATGCGGGGCTGGAGTGGCACCGAAATGGGAATAAGGGATGAGCGGCGGTTTTAATGAGAGAGGGTCAGTGGTTTTTGCAGTTCAAGGGTCAGAGATGTGAACGAAGAGGCTAAAATAAGCTTTGGTCAAAATGTGGTAAGTGTAGCGAGGCGTGTGAGTTGGAATCCTGATCAGAAAGCACTTAAAATGAATAAGTTTAAAGGAGTAAGTAGGTCAGGGGGGACTGGTCAGCATAGAGGCTTCCTAAAGGACCCGTGTTACGCAAAATTTACTCTTGTGAGCTTTAGGCCGTGTTATAATGTTGTTACCTCCTCAAAAGCATACCTGGAGTTCTGTTTTGCTTCATTCACACATGTTTGAGTAACCTTTTATTATTAGTCTGACAACACCTCCAAAGCTCAAAATGCTCTGTTCGGTAACACTTTATAATAACTACACTTTACTTAGCCTTAATAAAGCATGAACAAAGACTTAATTAATAATGAACAAAAATTTAATTAATAATGATTCACGCTTAGTAACTACTTAATAGAGCATAATTAGTCTTCACTTTAGAAAAGCTCTCAAAAAGACTTAACTAACAGATAACAGATGCCTGAATTATCATTGCATTGTATTATTAGTAAATCATTCTCTCATAGCTTACTAATGATTAATAAATGCTCAAATGGTTAGTTCATGAGTAATTAAGTATGAAATAATTATTTACAGCACAGGTAAATTAAGTGCAAGTGCTAATTAAGGTAGTAATTATGTAGTTACTAAGCGTGAATCATTATAAATTAAGCCTTTGTTCATTATTAATTAAGCCTTTGTTCATGCTTTATTAAGGCTAAATAAGGTGTAGTTATTATAAAGTGTTACCCTCTGTTCAACTTTGTGATGTCATGCAGTGGTAGTTTTCAAGTTTTCAACAGCTACCAGCCAGATTATAGGCCATTCTGTGTAGAGGAAAAGTTGTTTTTGAGTCATAAATCATGTGCATTTGAAAGAAATACAAAATTTAAGTGTAATATCGTACTATGGAACATCCCAGGTTAGGCAAAAAATCTCCATGGAGACAGACAGATTACGCACGGTGCACCAAATGACATGAGACATAATTATTGTTTTGTAGGTGCTGCAAGGAAGAAAGGGTTATGTCACTGAAAGTTGTCTCTTTTAATGTTGGCCTGGCAGCTCACCAGAAAAACAATCCATTTATTTATTTATTTTGAATCAAATATGCTCATAGATATTTTTTGCACTGTAGTGAATAAGGGAGACAGGAACAACAAAAGTATATTCTTACAATGCAAAAATGCCTAAAATAAACCATTGTTCTCAGGTCTCTGTCTCAAACAAAACCACTAACACTATGAATTACTTTGATAACATATTGCTGTAGTACTTATACTGAATGCAGGTTCAGCAAAACACTTTTAGTGGAACTAAGCACTAAAATAATTGTTTCACTACACTGTGTTTATGGTGTTTAATCTACAGTTCACAATAATTTTCTAAAGTTCACAACTTAAGTACAAACTAGGTAAATGTGCAGCTTTGTGGTCAAAAAATGAAATTAGTTTGTGTTGCTTTCAGTGGGCTTTGCAATTTCAAGTAGTTGGTGACATCGCAAAAGACTGCCCTGATAACAGCCATGTGTTTCAGATGACAAACAGGGGGTGGAGTTTGAAGTGTCACTGTTCCTCCCCTTCAAACTTTTTTTAGTCCTCCAGGTAGTCCTCTATTTGTACTGTGGATGTGCGTGGAGTTTAAGTAAGAACTATTAACATTGAATTGAACATTGAACATTCTCCTTGTGTGCTCCTCTGTTTTAGGAGAACCCCTACATGTGCAATAACGAATGCGACGCCTTGACCGAGGAGCTGGCCCATCCCCCGGAGCTCATGTTTGACTTCGAGGGCCGCAACCCCACCACCTTCTGGCAGTCCACCTCCTGGAAGAAGTACCCCAAACCCCTGCAGGTCAACATCACCCTCTCCTGGAACAAGACCATAGAACTCACCGACGATATAGTCCTGACCTTTGAGTCCGGACGCCCCGAGCAGATGGTGTTGGAGAAGTCCCTGGATTATGGGCGCACCTGGACCCCCTATCAGTTCTACGCCACCGACTGCCTGGACGCCTTCACGATGGAGCCCAAAACTGTGAAGGATCTAACACAGCGCACCCTGCTGGACATCATCTGCACTGAGGACTATTCCAGAGGTTACGTTTGGAAGAATGATAAAACGGTTCGATTTGAGATAAAGGATCGGTTTGCGTTGTTCGCTGGGCCCAGGCTTCACAATATGGCGTCGCTTTATGGGCAGCTGGATACCACCAAGAACCTGAGGGACTTCTTCACCATCACAGACCTGCGGGTGAGGCTGCTCAAGCCCGCCACCGGAGCCACCATGGTGGATGAGAACAACCTGTCCAGATACTTCTACGCCATCTCCGACATCAAAGTGCAGGGCAGGTAAGGAGATACATTACTGTTCGTAATGGGTTTATAATGGGGTAAGAGAAGAAGCGGTAAATATAGTTAACGTCTTAATGACTCACTGTGTAGTTTTTCTGGTGGAAGACTGCCACCTGCTTTTCTGCATACAGGTCTTACTGTTACAGTCTTACAGTTGTTATTGCAACCAAACAATGGAAGTAAACAGGTGGTGGAACGTCCACCAAACAAAGTGATATAGTGCATTGTTAAGACAATAGTCAATGCTAAAAAATGTGCATGTGATTGACAAACTTGACTGTACTCACATTTAGAATCCACAATACTGCAAATATCTTAAATAAAATGATTTTGTAGCAATTTTAAACAAAACTTTAAGTGACTTATGATAGAGACTGCAGATAATGTTTGCAAATGAAATGGTGACTATGCGATGTAGTTTATATTTGACACATACATGCATTCAACTTACTTAGATTCTTATGTCTTTGATGTGCTCCCGAGCCAATTTTGTCAGCCATTGGACAAGCTCTATCTCCACACAAACATACCTCTGCCATCAAATCAAAGTTGAGAGGGCTCCCTTTACATCCTAAACTCAGTTTGTGTAACAGGGCTTCTGTAACAGCTTGCACCGCTGCAGCCAACAATATTTCCTTGGCTGAGTCATCTGAGCGTGCTATGATTTTGAGGAAATGGAAACATTGTCATTTCATGACGCATGACAATTGCCCTCATGATGGCCATAAAGCCTCTACAGCTGGTCTCCGCAAGGGCCCTGTGCTGCGCTGCATTGGTTTATATGAGGATAACTAGGCTGGTAATGGCCCATCCGCAGGGCCCTGGGTGAATTCAAACTGTTCCACTCTAATTAGAATGCAGCCGACGTTAGACCAAGATTAGAACCATTAGCACATTGGCTAATTGGTAGGAGACTAATCTTGTAATTAAGAGCATTTGCAACTGATTAAATGGCAATCATGAGGGACGCATCAGTGAAACATGGAGGCATGCATTAGCAGGCTGCGCTTCCAAATTTAGCCCTGCCCTGTTTAATGCTAGTGCCATTTATCTGGGCTGTCACAACAATATTTACATGTGTTTTCAAAGTTAGAAAACGCTTCAATGGCTCCTCTACATCTCTTCATAACCAGCTGATATTGGTGCATATTTCTATGATAGATTCCGTGATAGATTGATCTACAATGTGTTTTTCCACCTCACAATATTCCCAGCTCTGTTAGACACCAGTTACACAGCCATGGCACAGTCCTGTACTCTAAACAGGAATTGATGAGCTCTAAATTGCGAGCGCCTCGTATCCAGCACCGAATAGCATCTCCTACAGATATCTTATTTTGCCTTTCATTAGGAAGAAGTAGCAAAAGACTGGATGGGGGAACGCAAGCTATTCTGCCCAATTTTCTCCCCTGCCCCTGGGCATCGAATTCAATTTTCCACCAAAAGTTTGCGAGAGAAAGAAAAGAAAATAAACATACAATTTCTGACCAGAGGTGGATCAGTAACTCAGGTGGTGCTGGCAGGGTGGGAGAGAGTGATTAGAGCTCCTGTCTCCTCCGCTGCTTCTGGCTACAGGCAAATGTGAAAATGAAAGTCTTATCGCACAATGGCCACCCTGTATGTGTATGCCTGACAATGGTCCACAAACACTGATAAAGTCGTGCTGTGGTGAATGAGGAGCCAGAGCCAGGGGAGGAAGGGAGGGAGAGGTCAGAGTCTAGCCTGGAATGACACCAAAAGAAAATGGAAACATGCCATGGAAACAGACAGGTTTAATTGGTTTATACGGTAGACAGGAATATCCCACATGCTAATTATTACAAAAAACGTGAATAGCTTTAGAATGAATGAAAACCTGGATGAGAAAAGAAAAGAAAGTGTTACATTTTCATGAAAAAAAGTAATACAATTTAATGAAAAAAATATAAAAGAATGTACTGTGATTTAATGTTGAAAATGACAGCAGGAGAAAATGGAAATATGCCATGAAAACAGACAGGTTTAATAGCTTTATTGCTTTATTGCTTTACACATGAATATCCCTCATGCAAATGAATACTGAAACTGGATATTCAGTTGAACAAGTAATAATATTGAGAACCTTTCCTGAATAGCTTTAGATCTTGAGCTGCATCAGAACAAGTATAAGAGCACATACACTAGTATACACCAGAGGTGGGACCAAGTTGTTGTTTTGCAAGTTTTAAGTAAGTCTCAAGTCTTTGACCTCAAGTCCCAAGTCAAAGACAGGAAAGTCCAAGTCGAGCTTCGAGTCTCTGGCCCACGAGTCCAAGTCATGTCCAAGGCGTCTGCTTTGAGCTTCAAGTCAATTCAAGTCTTTAAACCAAAGAACCAAATATTTCATAGATATTTGCAATTTATATATTTTTTAAACTAAATAGTACTTCAAGTCATGGCATATTTATATATGAATATTTAAATATCACTTGTAGAAATGCAAGTTTTTCCTTTTTAAATGCTTTGACAAGAGTGCAAATATTTATGGTGAAAATGGAAAGAATTAAGATGTAAGAGTGCTTAATAACAGTTAATTTGTCAGCTAGTCCAAGCATCAGTTTTTTCAAGTCACAGGGCTCAAGTCTGAGTCAATTCCCAAGTCACTGACCTTCAAGTCCAAGTCAAGTCCCAAGTCTTCATCTATTTTATCATGTCAAGTCTCAAGTCCTAAAAATAGTGACTCAAGTCTCACTTGAGTCCAAGTCATGACTTTCAAGTCCCAACCTGTGGTATACGCCTATGGACCTCTATATAACCTGGACTACTGTAGGATACACATATATAAGACCACATGGTACTATAAATATTAAGTACTATGATTTACTGAAAGAAATATACAATAAAGTACTATGATTTGATGTTGAAAATGACACCAGGAGAAAATGGAAATATGCTATGAAAAGATTTAAGGAGTTTATGCAGTTGACAGGAATATCCCACTTGTTAATTAATACTAAAACTGGATACTCAGTTGAACAAGTATTAATGTTGAGAAACTTTCCTGAATAGCTTTAGAGCAGGGGTCAGCAAACTAAGGCTTACGGGCCGACTCACAGCCCCTCTGCCCCTCACCACTTAAACTGGCCCTATGAGGCAATCCTCAAAAGCTGTCATTTTGTTAAATTACTTTTTGGCAAATAATAACACATCTGCATCTTGTATTTTGATGATTTTTATGACGTATTTGCATTTGCCGTCAAATTTGCTGCAGACTTTTCATCACCTGACAAGCTTGAGATCAAACAATGACAGTCGACACATGCGCAGAGTTCTGTGCAGTTAAAGACAGCAAAATGGCTCATGTTAAAGTACAAAAAGTTGACACAGTGCACCGAGTTTTCACACAACAGTGGACAACCGATTATGTTGTTATTCAGTGTAAGGACCATGCAGTTTGTCTGATATGTAAAGAAAGTGTGGAGGTTTTCAAAGAATATACTCTCCATCGTCAGGGTCAAACACATCACAATCAGGAGCAATAATGTGGCCCCCAGAGAAAAAAGTTTGGTGACCCCTACTTTAGAGTGATGTTGAGCTGCATGCGGCCATGGACCACTATAGAACCTACCTGGATGGCTGAAGGATTTCACAGATATAAATAATATCGTAATATAAAAGAAAGTACTATTTCATAAATGCTTATTTATTTAAAAGTGCACTGTGGAACTGTATTATCTGAGCTTCAGCTTTATCTGCATAACTGCATGCTGAGGAGAGATGCCACACACAAATTTTGAAGTCTTCGTATTTCTAAAAATATTCTGTACTGTCAACAGGTTTTTCCAGTAAGCTGAGCACCCCCAAGGCTCCAAAATATATCAGGAATGTTTAGGTTTTCCGCTCCGTAAAAGAAAATGTTTAAGATTAGTGCCACTGTCCATACCCCACAGAAGCTTTAAATAAGAGAAGGTTGCTGTGTTCAGGGTCCTTCCACGTCAGCAAGTGAAGAACCCATTGTACTCAAAGCAGAGTGCAGAGTATCATTTTGGATCATTTCATCACATCTCCACACCCTCGGGGAAACTCAAGGTGAACCGAAGGAGATACAACATAAGGGTCCACCACCTGCTTGTCTCCATAGAGCTGTTACTGCTTTGCCTTGATTATTTCACAGTATGGAAATAATCTTGGTGGCCACAATGGCGACAAGCTAATGGTCAGATCTATGGTGAAGCAAGCCTGCACATGGTCAGAATACATTTTAAAATATTTTTCAGCTATAAAACACCTGTAATTGAACAAATGCAAGGGAGATATGTTTAATTAGCCAGGCTGGTGCCACCGAGTTACTCCGCTCAATTTCATTTCTCTCCAGCGACTAGGTCAGGAATCGGAATACACTAGACGGTTCGCAAGAACCCCCGAAGTGCAAGTTCGGGCACCAGCCAATCAGAGAAGAGCCATACATTCTGTGTTGGCAACGGTTCCTGAGATCGAGGATTTAAAGCTGGAACAAAGAGAATGTTTGGCGAATTTTATCAAGGGGAAAGACGTTATTGCCTTTCTTCCTTCAGGATTTGGGAAAAGCTTAATACACCAGTTAGCCCCATTAGTGGTGCATTACATATGTCACGACCAAATAGCAGTGATTGGTTAAATGAAAAAAAGTACCCGCCTACCGTTGAGCAAACGAATTGTAATGCTGCGAGGTCCCATGGTTTCTACGAAGTGAAACCGGCTGATGAATCAGGCTAATGTTTAATGGTCTTCAGTGTAACATTCCAGGCAAAAGAAATAAAATGGAAATCTTCATGGAGACAATCAAGTAATGGACCTGCCACTGTAGAAGTTACATAGTACTGAAAATCACATTCTATTCTCTAAATAAAGATTGAAGCTTTTATTTAGTTTGTTGTACCAGAATCGCCATTGAGTATCAAGACATGTATCATGACAACTCTAGTGGATACACCTAAAAGCAAAGACTTCTCAGGTGGCAAATAGTTGTGGAGGTTACATAATAGCGCCATTATAATTAT